TGGGAAGGGTCTCAAGGTGTGATGGGTGAACACGGCTTACAAGGAGCGGCTGACAGGTTAAACCCTCCTTCCGAGGAAGGTGGAGATGCTCATGGCGCCCATGGTGAAAACTGGCGCAGAGCCCCTGGGCTCCATGGGCCAGGACCACAACGATGCCTTCTCTTTGAGGGCTTAGGGGTTTAGGGTTTAGGGTTTAGGGTTTAGGGTTTAGGGTTCAGAGTTTAGGACCACGACGATGCTTGAGGGCTTTTTTAGTGTTGAGGGGTTTAGGGATTAGGGCTTGTGGATCGGGCTTCGGGGTTTCGGGGTTCAGGGCCGTTTCTTGATTTAGGACTGTTTAAGGGTTTAGGGCCGTTTGGGGCCGTTTAGCTTACACCTCAGGCTTGGGTCCGTAATCCCATGATCCGGCCTTCCTATACGTCTCAGCAGTACGGTCTTGGGTTTAGGATTCAGGGTTTAGGGGCTTAGTCGTTTATGCTTGAATGCTTGAGGGTTGCGGTTTACGAACTCCGGAAACTCGAAGTTTCAGGTTCGAGTCCTCACGTGGGCCGCAAGCAAGCATCGTATTCTGGTGAAGAGAACCCACGATGCCCCGGGGCCTGGAAGATTTTTACTACGGGGTTCGGGACCATTTCGGTGTGCTTCGCACGGTTTTTTTCAGGATTGAAGGGTTCAGGTCATCCCTAAACCCTAAACCCTAAACCCTAAACCCTAAACCCTAAACCCTAAACCCTAAACCCTAAACCCTAAACCCTAAACCCTAAACCCTAAACCATCGTGCTTGGGTTTCTTAAGGTACAACCCTTTCCCCTACAACCTCACACGCCACTTCTCAGCAGGACGTGGCGCTGGCCTGCATGCAGCTTGGCTTAGGGTTTAGGGTTTAGGGTTTAGGGTTTAGGGTTTAGGGTTTAGGGTTTAGGGTTTAGGGTTTAGGGTGTAGGGTTTAGGCTTTAGGCTTTAGGGTTTAGGCTTTAGGGTTTAGGGTTTAGGGTTTAAGGTTTAGGGTCATGGACCTCCTAGAAAGGTGGTGAGGTCAGGATCAAGTGTACATCGATACGTAAGTGAACGCAAGCCGTAGATGTTCATGTAGCAACGTAAGCGCTGTTGTATTTACATAACCACATGCGTATGAACATATACGTGTGAGCAAGCGCCAATGCTCCCTACCATTCAAGGAAGCGGCGGACATGAATGCTCAAAACCTTGTAGAGCGGAGCGCTTACACCCCTGCGTTGATGATGGAGCGCACCACTGGCCACAACCTTGAATGTTTCCGAAAGACACATTCAGATATGAAGCACAAATATCTGCCCCCCCCTGCCCCCCATGTTGCGTCCGTTAGCACAAGTAAGGAGTTTTGGCAGCCGCTCATGTGTAAACATGTAAATATGAATGCTATAAATGTGCACATGTATACCCGTTTAAAACGACACGTATATCAACGCATAGATGTGCATAACCACATATTCTTTGCATGCGTGCATCACTCAGATATCATGTACATATGCATGTATTCATTCATTTGCCTATACCTATATCCCCCTTGGGAATTATTGTTTTCTGTTTATATAAAACCCAAGAGGACATTAAACATGTCATGTTTATTAAGGTTCCAAGGGGAGTATAGATATCCTTTATCTTTGTGCTGATGCTTGTTTGCTTCTGTTCATGCAGGGACAGGCGCAACGAGTTTTCAGGGAGCTCGGGTCACGGCGCCCTTTACTCAAAGGAAACCCTAAACCCTAAACTTAGGCCCCTAAACCCTAAACCCTAAACCCTAAACCCTAAACCCTAAACCCTAAACCCTAAACCCGAGTATAGGCCCTTTAGGCTTTGAGGCTGAAGGTTTTGGGTTTGCGGCTTGGGGTCTTCGGAGGCTTCGGCTTTGGGAGTGTCAGGGGGTGTGGTGTTTTCTTTAGGCGCCAAGGGGGCTAACCCCTCAAAGCCCTACACCACCTAGTGCCAAAGACTTCCCCCTAAACCCTAAGCCCTACACCCTAAACCCTAAACCCTAAACCCTCAACCCTAAGCCCTAAGCCCGAAGCCCTAAACCCTAAACCCCAACCCGAAAAACCTAAACCCTAACAAACACAAATAAAAGACATCTCAACTGGAGGTCGCGGATGCCTCGCCAGCCATTTGACTACTTCTTCCAGCTCCTGGGCCCACACCTAAAGTCTCCTCTGCGTTTTGCCATGCCTCAGGGTTTAGGGTTTAGAGTTTAGGGTTTAGGGTTTAGGGTTTAGGGTTTGGGGCTTTAAGGTTGTAGGGTGTTGGGGAAGATAAGCAACAGCAAGTTCGTGACTTCTCAACAGCTTGGTAGCCCAGTGGTGCCCTTCTCCCTTTTTTGGGGTTCAAGGTTCTCTTACAAAGTAACCAACCAAACAAGGTGCCCTTGAGTGTTGGATTCTAATGATGGGTGGCCGGGGTCTCGTCTGAGTTTGGAAGGCCTGTCGACCCTTGTTCTTTGCGCTTCTAAGCCCTAAGCCCTAAGCCCTAAGCCCTAAGCCCTAAGCCCTAAGCCCTAAGCCCTAAGCCCTAGGCCCTAGGCCCTAGGCCCTAGGCCCTGAGCCCTAAGCCCTAAGCCCTCAACCCTAAACCCTGAGCCCATCTTCAAGAACCCTTCAAGCCCTTCAGCTCCCAACCCGAAACAATCAACCACGCCCCTGAAAAGAAATCAAGGGTTTAGGGCTTGGGGCTTGGGGCTTGGGGCTTAGGGCTTAGGGCTTAGGGCTTAGGGCTTAGGGCTTAGGGCTTAAGGGGTATGGGTTTGGGGTGTGTTGAAGTATGCTTAAAAAGTATGGAAGCTTAGGGAGCCTGAGGGAGTAGTGGGGGGTATGAGGGAACCTTGGGTTACATGCCCCTTCTTGAGGCCCCCCCCTCCCACAAGGACCCCGAAAATTGTTGTTCTGGCTTGCCCCCCATGCTCCCTTTGTTAAGGGGCTAGGTTCGATTTCAAAAAACCCGTGTCGCACGAAGGGCGGCCCCTTTTCTTCTTAGGCTGCTGAACCCTGAACCCCTAGCCCTAAACCCTAAACCCTAAACCCTAAACCCTAAACCCTAAACCCCAAACCCCAAACCCTAAACCCTAAACCTTGAATCCAAACCATTCAGGGTCCATGGTGCTGGCCTTTAATGCAAGGCTGCGCACCACAAGGGACCCAATCTAAGCAAGCCACAAGAGGCCGAAAACGACCCTGCTGAGGGTTTAGGGTCTGTAGGGTCTTGAGGGTCTTGTTGGGCTTGAGGGTCTTTAGGCTTTGCAGGGTCTCTGGGGTCTTGAGGGTTAAGGGTTTGGGGCTTCGGCAGGGTGCTTAGGGCGTGTAGCATCTAGAGTGTGTAGGGTGCCGGGCTCAGGGTGCACAGTGCTGCGGGCCAGGGCACTCTGCAACTCTAAGCCCGACCGAAACCCTAAACCCTAAGCCCTATAAACCCTGAACTCTGAACCCTGAACCCTGAACTCTGAACTCTGAACCCTGAACCTGAACACGAATCCCGCACGCAAAGGCTCTTCGCGCAGGCGACAAACCCTCCGATCGATCCAATTCGTGAGGCAAACGACCTGGCTGGCGGGCGTTTAGGGTTTAGGGTTCAGGGTGTAGGGGTTAGGGGTTTAGGGGTTTAGGGGTTTAGGGGTTTAGGGGTTGAGGGGTTGAGGGGTTTAGGGGTTTAGGGGTGTAGGGGCTTAGGGGTTTAGGGGTTTAGGGGTTTAGGGGTTGAGGGGTTGAGGGGGTTTAGGGGTTTAGGGGTTGAGGGTTGAGGGGTTAGGGGTTGAGGAGGGGTTGAGGGGTTTAGAGTTTTAGGGGTTTAGGGTTTAGGGGTTTCGGGTTTAGGGGGTTTAGGGGTTTAGGGGTGTAGGGGTTTAGGGGTTTAGGGGTTTAGGGGTTGAGGGGTTGAGGGGTTTAGGGGTTTAGGGGGTTAGGGGTTTAGGGGTTTAGGGGTTTCGGGGTTTAGGGGTTGAGGGATTGAGGGGTTGAGGGGTTTAGGGGTTTAGGGGTTTAGGGGTTTAGGGGTTTCGGGGTTTAGGGGTTTAGGGGTTTAGGGGTTTCGAGGTTTAGGGGTTCAGGGGTTTAGAGGTTTAGAGGTTTAGGGCTTTAGTGTTTTAGGTTCAGGGGTGTAGAGGTTTGAGGTTTAGGGCTTTGAGTTTAGGTGCTTAAAGGGGTTTAGGGCGTCGTACGCCCAATGTGGATCGTGCGCAGACGCCGCCCAAGGCAATGATGTGCGACTCAGACTGTGGCGTCCCACTGGCCCCGGATAATGTGCACCCGTTTGTCTGCAGCGTCTGCGGCTGGCAATGGGACGGCGTCGTACGCCGTGGACATCCACAGAAACACTGGTTTTGCCCTACCTGCCGCACGTTCTTTTTTTCGGCTTCAGGGTGAAGAGGTTAGGGGTTTACGGGCCTAGGGTTCCTGAACCCCGAAACTCTACACCTGACTCCCTAAACCCGTGCCTCAGTGTCGTTGGAGCAGGTAATCAAAGTCCGGTTTGGGGCGCGGGGCTCCTAAATTCAAACCATCCCTTTGCAAACCCCGTTCCAGCTGAACTCGAAACCCTGCTCCCTCAACTTTACACCCTAAGCCCTAAACCCTAAATTCTAAAACGCCGAGAAGCGCAACACCCTAAAGAATCTCAAGTCTGCATGGGCTAGCTGTGTGGGCCACATGTTGTGTCCGATAGCGTGACATGGAATTGAGGTTTTAGGGCTTTAGGGCTTCGGGAGCTGCTTACGACCCTAAAAACTAAAAACCCTAAACCCTAAACTCTAAACCCTAAACCCTAAACGAGACCCTAAACCCTAAACCCTAAACCCCACAGGCCAACGTGATGTCGCTGACTTGCCCGGTGGGCCCCGAGAAGAGCCTGCTGGAGCCCTCGCCAGAGGCACTTTCGTGGTCCTTTTCGGTTTTCATCCCTGGGGCTTAGGGTTTAGGGGTTTAGGGTTTAGGGTTTGGGGTTTAGGGTCTAGGGGTTTGGGGTTTAGGGTCTAGGGTTTAGGGTCTAGGGTTAGGGTCCAGGGTTTAGGGTTTAGGGTTTAGGGTAGCTCTGACTTGGGATTTCCGGGAATTCGGGGTATTTAGGGTTTATGGTGTCAACCTAGTGTTTATTTAGTGTTTAGGACTATTTGGTTATTGGCTTTAGTTGAGTGTGGGTGCTTCTGGTATGTCGGGCTTAGGGGTTTCAATTCGGGTTTAGGCATTAGTTGTTTGGGTATGTTTTGGTGTCGGGGGCTTTGGGTTGAAACCCTAAACCTTAGACCCTAACCCCTAAACCATTGTACCCCTAAACCCGAAACCAGAAACCCTAAACCCGAAACCCTAAACCCTAAACCCTATACCCTAAACCCAGCATCATGCGACTCTCCAGCTGGAGTCTTCCGCCTTGGCAGTGGGTTTCGAATGCATTTGGGTGTGTTTTGGGGTTTAGGATTTAGGGTTTAGGGTTTCAGAAGGGTGCGCTGTTTAGGGTTTAGGGTTTAGGGTTTAGGGTTTAGGGTTTAGGGTTTAGGGTTTAGGGGTTTTAGAAGGGTGCGCTGCCTAAACCCTAAACCCTTTGCTAGCAGCTCCTTACTAGGGATTCTGGTAGGTGGTACGAATAATCCTCATTAAAGACTGCCAGAAAAAGTCCGGAGCATCCCAAGCCTCTCCCCCCTTATAGAGTCCCTGTATATACCTAGGTAGCCCCCAACTAACCTCCCAAGGTTCAGGTCTAAACCCGAAACCCTAAACCCTAAACCCTAAACCCTAAACCCTAAACCCTAAACCCTAAACCCTAAACCCTAAACCCTAAACCCTAAACCCTAAACCCTAAACCCTAGACCTAAACCTTCTGCTGTATCTCACTGGGTACGCAGCCCAAGGCTCTGCACTTTTCATGAGAGGCCTGCCGCCGCGTCTTCCTCGACTCCCCAATCCTGGACACACGCCGCTACAACGCCCTCTTTGGCCTGGAGGCCAGCTTAGGGTTTAGGGTTTAGGGTTTAGGGTTTAGGGTTTAGGGTTTAGGGTTTAGGGTTTAGGGTTTAGGGTTTAGGGTTTTAGGGTTTAGGGTTTAGGGTTTAGGGTTCAGGGTTCAGGGTTCAGGGTTCAGGGTTTAGGGTTTGGGACTGAGCGGCGGTTTCAAGGTTTTAGGTTTTGGTGCCTTTACCCCTGAAGCTCCTCAACCCTATCCTTTTTTTAAGGTTTTGGAGGTTTCGGTGTTTGAGGTTGGGCTCAGCTTCTGGGAAGTGCACTCCTTAGACTACAGGGGTCAGCTGCCGCAATACCCGAGGGATTCTCAAGACATCGTCCGTCATTGGGGTTTAGGGTCTGGCGCAAACAAAAGCAGAGAAAGGGCAATGCTCGCCTGCTCGGGCGAGCCGATCTCGCCAACTCTGGAAGCGTTGGTCCTGCAATAACGCTCAGTGCCCCATATCCCTTAAACCCTAAACCCTAAACCCTAAACCCTCAACCCTAAACCCTAAACCCTAAACCCTAAACCCTAAACCCTAACCCCCCCATATCCACACACCAGCGGACGCATGGTTCAATCCTAAGTCCCATGGCAGAGGCCCTGCAGAGGCCTTGAAGGAAGAGCTTGTGGGTGTTGGCCTAGACCCGAAACCCTAAACCCTAAACCCTAAACCCTGAACCCTAAACCCTAAACCGCTTCTCTGAGCCCTCGGCCCTCAAGCCCTACTCCTACCATTAAGGCCGGTGTCGACGATGATCTTGGGCCTGGCAGTTTTGGAACTTCTTGAGCCTCTTCCCCGAGTTGCTAAGGTTTGGGGTTTGGGGTTTAGGGTTTAGGGTCTAGGGTTTAGGGCTAGGGTTTAGGGCTAGGGTTTAGGGCTTAAGGTGTTTGGGGTTTGTAGGGGCCCCCCAGTCCTCGGGGCTCCCCCCCCCTTGGAGAGAAACACTTATGCACCAGTTATACCTGTACGTACAACCCACTTATAAGCCCCCTACGTGCCATAATATGGTTGTAAGTACAGTTATAAGTACACTTTTAGTTGATGAATCAGTACAGTTATAAGTACAGTTATAAGTACAGTCATAATTGGTTAATAAGTACAGTTATAAGTATCGTTATAAGTAGGTACAGTTATCATTGGTTAACAAGTGCCATGAACCTCCAAGCAGGCGGATGGCATGCCTACGGTGGTTCTGGACATGACCTACGGCCTGAGCGACCCTCGGCTGGCCTTCGGTTGTTTCTCTCTTTCTCAAGTCTTGGTGGGTTTAGGGTTTGGGGTTTAGGGTTTGGGGGTTAGGGTTTAGGGTTTAGGGTTTGAGGTTTAGGGTCTCGGGTTTGGGGTTAAGGGTTTGGGGTTTAGGGAGCCTGCCCCCGAACTGCCCCTAATCCCTCCCGCCTCTGCGGCAGTTTAGAACAAGGACCCCACAAAGGTACCCCTACGTAATTTCGGAAACCCCTATATTGTTTAGGGTTTAGGGTTTTGGGTTTAGGGTTTAAGGTTTAGAGTTTTGGGTTTAGGGTTTAGGGGTTGTAGGACTTGTAGGGCGTATGGCGTTCTTTAGGCCCCTAGAAAAGCCCGAGAGCTTGGGGGGGTGCGGGCCTGTGCCCCCAAGCTTCCTAGCCTAAACTTAGGGTTTAGGCTGTAGGCTTTAGGGTTTAGGGTTTAGGGTTCAGGGTTCAGGGTTTAGGGCTCCAACGACCCTACAAGCTCCCGTGTTTTGGGGGGGAGACTTCGGGCCCCGAAGCCCCAAAAACCCCGAGAAGCAGCCCCAGGAGACGAAGTCGCGGGCGCGGCAGGCGGACCGCGCGACGCGAGGCAACAACCTCCTCAAGGAGGGCCTCCTGGGGGGGGGGTTAGGGTGTTAAGGTTTTTTCGGTTTTTTTTTGTTGATTGGGTGGTTTTAGGGTCTTTTTTTAAGGGTTTTTTGGGGTTTGGGTTTTTAGGGTGTTTTCGGTTTTAAGGTTTTTGTGTTTTTAGGGTTTTCGGGTTTTAAGGTCTTGACGGTTTTAGAGTGTTGGGGTTTTGGGGTTTTGGGGGTTTTAGGATTTTAGGGCTTTAGGGCTTTCGGGTTTTAGGGTTTTAGGGCTTTAGGGTTTTCGCGTTAGGTTTTGAGGGTTTGGGGGGTTTAGGCATTTGGGGGGGCCTTAGGGATACAGAGTTTAGCGGGCAGTTCCTCCTCCTCCTCTTCCTCCTCCTCTCATCGCCATCTTACCGCGGGACCCCAGATCACGTGCACCCCGCACGCCGGAGCCTCTGAGCTTCAAAGAGTCTGTAGGGCTCAGATGGGCTTAAGAAGTCAACGAGACAGCTCGGCGTGCCCCAAGGCTCCTGTACTTGAGTTTTGCCAGAAGGCGGCACTTAAAAAAGCGCGGCTGAACGACGTCGAAGCAATGCCGGCATGCAGTTGTGGCCGTCAAGCCCGCCTGAGGTGTGACTTGCGAAGGAAGCTGGAAGGGCCCTAAACCCTAAACCCTAAACCCTAAACCCCAAACCCCAAACCCTAAACCCTAAACCCTAAACCCCAAACCCTAAACCCCAAACCCTAAACCCTAAACCCTAAACCCTTGCGAGGCTTGGCTCCCAGCTCTCCCCCGCAGAGTCCCCGTAGCGCAAGACGCAGTCTACACAAGCCGTGACTCAACGTCTCAGCGCCCCAGGCAACTTGAAACCGTGGCTCAGCCATTTCAAAGCTCCTTTCAGATGCCAAAGAACCGGACAGCTCGTTGGAGTCTGCCGGACCTGAACACACCTCAAGCGCGAGTCCGGTTGAAAGGGCTTGTTGAGGTTCAGAGGGTTCATGCGTGGGTTGCCATTGTTTCCATGTCGTTTAGTGGTTCAAGGCCATGGGAAGCAATCAGCAACCTCAAAATTCAAGCCTGTTTCCACAGCCCTAAACAAACCCAAACCCTAAAACGCCTTAAAACCTAAACCCCTAAAACCCCTAAACCGCAAAAACCCCTAAACCGCTAAAACCCCAAAACCCCCAAACCCCAAAACCCAAAAACCCCAAAACCCCTAAACCCCTAAACCCTAAATCCTAAACCCCACCCCGGAAGAAACTTCGCGGGCAGGAGCGCCTGGACCAGATCTGCAAAGAAGCCGAGGCTGCCATCCTCGGCGATGGCGCTGCCATCCTGGCCCCCCGGCCTCTAAATGACGTTGGGCGGTTTAGGGTTTTGGGTTTGGGGTTTAGGGTTTGGGGTTTAGGGTTTAGGGCTTTTTGGGGTTTAGGGTTTGGGGTTTGTTTAGGGTTCAGGGTTTAGGTTTAGGGTTTGGTTTAGGGTTTGGGGTTTCGGGCTTAGGGGTTTGGGGTTTGGGGTTTAGGGTTTAGGGTAGTATAAACCCTATGCTCCATATGGGGCTCAGGAGGTCCATGAAGACACTATAGAAGCCAGGGTTTAGGGTTTAAGGTCATGAAGAGCTTGCCATGAAACAGTGTTGAAATGTTACCATTACTGTTATTGGTGAGTGTATTTAGGGTTTTCTTATGAGTGTGTAGAATTGGTGTCCTTTTTGGATACGAAGGATCAAGACCCTGCTGATATCGGTTTTTTTTCGGGGGGTGGGGTACTAGCTGAGGGCCTCTTGCCTCTAGGTTGTGCGGATTTCTTGCGCTCCGAGCCGTGCTTAGGGTTTAGGGTTTAGGGTTTAGGGTTTAGGGTCTAGCCCTCCAAGTAAGTCAGGCTTTGACCGTAACCCCCCACGGAACCCTGAACCTGAGAGCCGTGAGCCCACCACCCTGAAGCTCCGAAACCCTAAGTCAACCCTGCGCCCTAGTCCGCCAATTCCTCAGAACTCACAACCTTAAGTTACTCCCGTAAGTTTACAAAGCATTTCCACCATCACTGAGTCATGGAACCCTCCGAGCTCCTAAGCCCCCCTTGAAGCCTCTAAAAGCTCTTGTTTCGACTCTTACAGCTTGGGATGTTATACAAGCAGTCCTGAATCGTGATTAAAATGACTTGGTAGCTGAGTGAGTACACTTTACACTTTTTGTGACACTATTAATCCCCAAAAAAGAACTGAAAAGGTACACTTTTTTTTTTTTGGGGGGGGGGGGGGCTCATGAACTCAGCAACTAAGATAAGGGGGGTACTAGAATCCCTATTTTAAGGAGCTGTTAGTACAAGGGGGAACATCCCAATCTGAGAGCCTTCCCCCTAAACCCTAAACCCTAAACCCTAAACCCTAAACCCTAAGCCCTAAACCCCTTCTCCCCTCGAGGTGCTGTCCCACCGCCGCGCGAGCCAGAGCCGCGTGCCTGTGAGCTCACTCTTGGCCGTGGGTGCGGTGCACCAGGTGGCTTACCGAAAGCCCCATGGGGTTTAGGGTTTAGGGTTTAGGGTTTAGGCTTGAGGGTTGAGGGTTGAGGGTTTCTGGGACGTGCGATCTTGTGGGTTATACTTGATAAGGGTAGTTGCTGCCTCGAAGCTGTAGGTAAAATCGTTTCGGTGTTTTCGTTTTTCGTGGATGGCTCCAGAGGGACTGGTCTCCGGGCAGGGCTCACTGTTTCGGGTTTAGGGTTTAGGGTTCAGGGTTTGGGGGGAGCTTTCTTGTTGGCCCTTTCTGGCTTGCGCTGTGTTGATCTACCCGCTACTTCGAGATCGCACCAGGACCCCTCCACAGTTGAACTCAGAAAGGTTGAGGTGCCTGAAAGCATGCCTTTTCCCCCACGTCCGAACCTTGAACACAAGAGCTTCAGAGGTCTGTTTTTTGAGGTTTTTGTCAGGGCTTAGGCTTAAGGGGTTCAGGGCTCAAGGAATTTAAGGTTCAGTTTGGGATCTTCCCCCTTATACTACCAGCCCTTACTTGGGGTTATAATAGGGGGGTACTATAAAGGAGCTGTTAGTTGGGGTTATCAATAGGGGGCACTCTTACAGGAGCTGTTAGCCTGAGGAGGAACATCCCAAGGGTCAGTGTTTACTACTGTTTGCTTAAGAACCCCCAAAAAATTAAAAAATGTTCTTCCTTATAAGGGCAATATAGGGATTAGTAGTTTATTTGTTTTTGGGGTTCCTAAGCAAAAAGTAGTTGAGGGTCAGCTTCGCCCCACTGTGCAGGACCTCATCGCCAAGAAGTTGCGCGCTAAGGCAGGCCGTAGCCCTTGTTCACGGGTGCTTACTTACCCCCAATCAGAAGGGGACCCCTAGATACTCCCATAAAGGGGATGTATAGGGCCCTCTATAGACTCCCCTTAAAGGGTTTATAGGGTACTTATAAATATAGCTTGTAAACCCCAAGTATAACTGTACTTCAACCCCCCCCCCCCTCAAGTCCCCTAAGTCCTCTAAGTAGGTTATCAGTAGACGTATAATTGGGGTTCTCAGTACTCATGAACCTCCAAGTAAGCCCGAGCTTCTTCGATGTGTTTTCAAGACCTCCCTTGTCCCCATCGCAGAAGCGCCTACAAATGCTGAGACCAAGGCGAACCCCTCCTTGTAATTCCTATCCTCGGCCCTAAGCCCTTGGTCTCGGGACTTCCGGCTTTGGAATATTGGGGTGGCTGTTTTGGGATAGGGCTGGCAGCGCGATGGCTGTTTGTTTGATTGGAGTGGGTTTAGGCTTCCTAATCGACCCTAGTAGACCCTAAACTACAAGAAGCCCTCTTACCCAAACCCAAGTCATGGACTTCAACGTCCACCGAACCGCTGACATCCTAAACTGCACGAAGCCCCCTAAACCCTAAAACACATCAACGAACCCCAGGGTTTAGGGTTTAGGGTTGCGGGTTGCATAAAGCTCGCAAGAAGTCCTAGACTCCCAAATCCTGAAGCCACAAGAACCAAACGAATACCCTAAACTAGAAGCAGCCCTAGGCACTTAAACATCGGACAAAAAAAAAGGTAGCCCTAAACCCTAAACCCTAGACCCGAGACCCCAAACCCTAAACTGCCTCGGAGAGCAGGTTGCCTTGGTGGTGGAAGCAGCAGACGCCCACGCGTCTCGGCAGCCAGCGCCGAGAACCTTGAGGGTTTAGGGTTACGGTTTAGGCGGTTTAGGGTTTAGGGTTTGGGGTTTTCAGCTCCGAGTGTTTTTCGGGGTGCAGGACTTCTTGGGTTGTTTGGGGACGTGTACGGTTCTTAGGATTCATATGAAATATGAAAAGTTGCTTGTTCCGCTTGTAAGCTTCGGGGTTTAGAGTTTCGGTTGAAGTTTTTTTGGCTTAGACCCTGGAGGGGCGCAGGGCCCGAAGTCACACCCACTCAGACCCTTACTCGGTTCGTAGGTTTTGTTTACTCAACCTTAAATCTCGGAAAGGCACAGCGGAACCCAAGTTTCCTTCACCCCTAAGCCCTAGACCCTAAGCCCTAAGCCCTAAGCCCTAAACCCTAAACCCTAAACCCTAAACCCTCAGGAGATCCACCACTTCTGCTGCCTGCTCGGCTTCGGCTGCGACGCCATCTACCCCTACCTGTGCCTCTCGGACGATAGAGTTTGCTCAGTAGGGGGGCAGGTAGCTCCCCAAACCTTACAACCTTAAAGCCCTCATCCTAAGGCCCAAAGCCCCTAAACCCTAAACCCTAAGGCCCAAAGCCCCTTAACCCTTAAGTGGTTGTTTTTGGTCATTCAGCCTTTTCGGGGTGCTTCGGAGGAGGTCGAGCCTCTGTAAGGTTACCCAGAAATCTTGGTCGGTGGGAAGCGATCCTGAGGCGACTCTTCTCTGTCCCCTACAAGAACTGTGGTGCTGAATTCAAACCCCTAAACTCCTCACCACCCCCCCCCCCCCCCCCCCCAAATGCAGCACCAAGCTTCCCTCAACACCGGACCCAAGCCATGCAGGAGCTCAAGCCAGAAGGTTCAGGAGTTTAGGGTTGGGGTTTGTGAGTTTGGGGGTTCTCATGCCTTCAAAACCTCCAAGGCAAAGAACATACATTCTTTTTAAACCTACCCCAACCCCAAGCCGCAAGCCCCGCAGTGAACATACACACACACACACACAACCCTAAAACCACAACCCCGAAACACCCTAAACCCTAAACCCTGAACCCTGAACCCTAAAATCCTAAACCCTAAACCCTTAAACCCTAAACCCTAAGCCTCCTTTCCCAACCCTCACACAAGCTCTCGCAGGCTACCTGAGCCTGCTCCGCGTCCGCGGAACAGACATGCCGCGCCCCGGCGGAGACTCAAACGTCACACGGGGACCCAAAAGGGTCCCGAAAGCCTACACCCTAAACCCTAAATCCTAAACCCTAAAGCCTAAACCCTAAACCCTAAACCTGGGGGGGTCACGGAGTCAAGATTTAACAGCTCTACTTGGCAGGTGCAGCACATCTTGTGCGACCTCAGCCTCGAGGTTCAGAGAACTTGCAGTGACATTTGAACTAATTAGGCCCATTGGGTTGTTTCTAACGAGTGGATCACACAGAGTCCCTCTTGACAGACTGTTCATACTTGAGCCCTTTGTACGAATTCATTGAAGGCACATAGCAGTGACGTATCATACTCCACCTTTCGGCAATGGCGCTGAGAAAAGGGTCCGATGCATTCAATCGACCAATTCAATTGGGGAGAAGTTCAGAGCATCAAGTTGGAGCAGCAGGCAGGACTCCGCATTCCAACTTGGTAGCGGAGCTGGCTGGTCAGAACCAGGCCAGTTCCGGATACCTTTGGCGTGGAATCCTCGGATTTGTGCTCTTCTTGGTGGCTTTCCTGTCGCTCGTGGATACATATCTGGATTTCGAGTGGGAAGGTGACCAAGTACACAAATTCTTGGATTCTGCGGACGAGCCCAATATCAGCCTGCAGAATACGTCGAGTTTGGCCTCTTGGCATGACAGAATTCGAGATGAAGTTGTGCGGGAGGTGATCGCGGAACTACGACAGGTTCTGAATGACGACAATTACAGCATGGACGGAAACGCACTGGAGCTTTTGCAACGCCTGACTCTTCCTGAGGTGTCGATGGCCGGACCAAGTACAGCAGTGGTTTTGGCCAGTGACAAGTCAGAAGCAGATCAGGTGAACAGCCAAGCGATGATATCGGCTCCATTGCGTAACTGGACAACGTGGCGCACACGTCGTCAAAGACGGAATCTCACGTGGAACGACTACGACGCACTGATCAGACCTATTGGCGCGTTCAGACGACTACAGGACAAGAACCTGCACAAGCGACGCTGGAAGTGGCAAGGCGCGAAAACCGGACGTGGTCGAGTTTTGAGCCATCGCACATGGCTTATTCTTGAAACGTTGGCAAGTGCAGCGTTCGCCGCCTCTTGGTTGTGCGGGATGATCCCTGGCGGATTTCGTGATGGAGGGCCTCGTCAACATGCCCATGTGGGTGACGCAGGGCCACCGTTCATTGGAACGGCTACCCTGAAGGTACCGCCGGCGTGGTCAGTGGAGAGATCGTCCCACTACAGCCTCAGGTCCTGGATCTCCGACTTGGTTCTTTGGTCCTCAGCTACAGACATGGACGTGCAGAGATGGGGGCCAGTGGCAGCATTGCAAGTGACGGGTTCAGCCAGAGAACTCGTGAGAGAGCTAACCCCTGAAGTCTTATCCCACGGAATCGTAGACCCTCAAACTGGCCAACACATAAGTGGTTTAATGGTTTTGGTCCAGACCCTAGCCCAAAGATATGCCCCCCTAGAGCAGGAAGTGAGCACCAAATCTGTGGCAGAGTTCATGGCTTTTGCCAAGCTTCCCAATGAATCCGTAGACTCCATGCTTGTTCGCTTTGACGTGCTTCGGAATCGTGCCGCGCAAAGAGGGGGATTGGCTTTGAACTCATCTGGTCTTGCGTGGGTTTTGTTGCGTGCTTTGCAGCTCCCTCCAGAGCTCATGGACCGCTTGCTGGCACCAATCGGAGGCCAGCTTCCACAGAACGAAGGTCAACTTACTGAGTTAATGGGTCGGATACGCAGACAAGGCCATTTGTTTGAGCATGGTTTTAAGGGTGCCGGTCGTCAAGGGGCTACAGGGGATCCGGGAGCATATTTTTTCCCAGTGTTTGAGCAAGGAGCAGGGGAAGGGTGTGCAAGTAGAAGTGCATATGGCGCTGCATATCCAAGCTACACTGCTTCGGGGGCATGGACTAATGCCCATCAAACTCCCCTAGCGCCAACTGGCGCAGCTCCCGTTTCCTCACACGCTGGAGCAGATGCAGTTTCCGCGTCCCAAGAGTGGGGAGCGCAGTGTCATTCGTGTGGCACTTTCTTTGAGGATGAGGACATTAGCTCTTGCACCTCCAGTGAGGATGAAGGAATGGCAGAATCATACTCTGCGTTCAACACGACTGATCCTCACATGGATGACGATGCCGTAGCATGCGAGCTGTATCACCAGTACCGTGTTGCCCGAAGAAAATGGCGAAGGTTTAGTGGCAAGCCTCCCCGAAGATATCGAAAGTTCAGTCACAAGCCCAAGGATTTTAGTCGCCTTAATAAGTCCCCATATGCCCGAACATATGCAGCATTCCTTCCGGCTTCCAGCTTTGCTGGCGGGAAGGGACAGTCCGGGTCTGGCAAGGGCAAAGGAAAAGGACGCGGCAATCCTAAAGGAAAGGACGGGAAGGTGCTGCGTTGCAATCGCTGCAACTCCGACCAGCATCTGTGGCGACAGTGTCCTTTGGTTACGCAAGGTGGCTCGGCTCATCATGTTTCGGCTCAGCCTGCGCTGACATTGCACACCAGCTACGCAGGTTCCGGTCAATGTGCTGGCACGCGTGAGGACTGGGGTGAAGAACGATCTTTACCTGGGGTCACATTTTCTTCGCACTACATGTCGGCTGTGTCGCGTGCAAGCGGTAGTCGGACCGGAGTTGATGTAGAGCTGGAACGATTGTCGCAAGTGTCAAGCGTGAATAAACCTCACAAGCGTAGGGCCAGTGCACTGAACAACGAGTCGAGCGAGCCTCCTAGTTGGGAGCCAGGGCAGCCTTCTCGCCCATCTTCAGTTCAGATCCGACCCGAGGACAGTGCAAGCCAAGTGTCTCTTGCTCCGAGTGTTCAGCGTCTGGTGCATGGTGCCCCTGAGCCAAAGCATCCCCCTCCAACACACAGGCCAAACGCAGGCCGAGATGAACAAGAGCGAGGGAAAGTGACTGTGCAGTTGCAGTCGCTGCTGTTTCCTTGGTGGGAGACTGATGATGTGACAGGCGACAGAGCAACCAGCAGCACCTCGCACGTGTATCATGAGCACACACGTGTCAAGGGCAAGGTAGGACTTCTTGTGGATCCTGGAGCGCACGACAATCTGTGCGGAGCCGCCAGCATGGAATTGATGGCTGAGCAGCTGGGCTGTGAGACTCACTCCAGGCAGCTCGCGAAGCCGTTGAATGTGCAAGGAGTTGGAAAGGGTTCGCAGCAAGCCACCACCAGCCATGCCATTCGATTCCGGCTTCACACTGAAGAGTCAGGAGACATTCCGGGGTCTTTCAACACTCCCATTGTACCAGACAGCAACTTGCCGCCTTTGTTGGGGTTGAGATCATTAAGAAAGTCCAAGGCCATTCTTGACACTGACGGACGGAAACTCATCATTCCCGGTCCAGGTGGGATCCAAATGTCCATGAGTCCAGGCACAGTTGTGCTTCCCTTAGCTCTGAGTGAGAGTGGACATCTTATCTTACCTGTGCATTCCGAACAGGATTCTGCCATAGATCCTGTCAAGTCGCTTGATTTCGCATCGTCACGTGCTTGCGTAGCGCATGAACCAGATTCTCAGGGCAATGCAGCTGCCTGTGCCAGCGTGCCTCTTCAACGTTGAGTGCGGAGAAGCATAGGGCCGCAGTGCAGGCATGGGTCTTCTGTGATCAAGCAGGAATGCGTCAAAATATTCTGTCACAGATGGGTTTCCAGAGCACTCATTTCAGTCGTGATCTTCATTCTAAGCAGCAAGCAAGACACATTTTGAATTTGCAAGCCTCTCAGAGCCCAGCACTGGTATGGATCAGACTGGGAGGCACTGCGGCAGGTACAGGCAATAGGCATGACAGCCAACGTGCGCAACACCTGGCGCAAGTGGCAAATAACCAAATTACTCAAGGTGGTTTGTTAGTCTTGGAAGCAAATGTTCGTAGTTTGGTTTGGTCGCTTAGAGTAGTGCAAGAGTTGGTTGCAAATCTTTCAGTGACTGATCACAGTTGGTGCTGGCACGAAGCGCGGCTAAACTGGGTTGGGAATAAATGCAAAACTGTCATTCGCATCGCTTGTAACATTAAGCTGTTGGGGTCATTCACATGTACTTGTGAAAATTCCCAAGACCACATCAGTTCAAAAGACCTTAATGTTGAAGATTGTCTTGGTCGCCAGCAGCGAGTTTTGCATTCCATCGTGCAGTGTGCCCTTCAAGCCAGTGGCTTGGGTGTGGCGCAGACCGCGTTGCACATGCAGCCCGAGTCAGCAGTCAGCGATTCTCACCGCCCAAATAAGATAAACCTCAACCCGTATGGTTTAGCCCCTAAGAATGCCTTGACAGTGGCGCGTGCTGATGCAAGCAACGCTGCCTTGTCGGTGGACGTGCAAGAACCATTAGCGTTTCATGACGTGCCGCCAGAGCCTGCAGGACACTTCCAGATCGGACAGCGAATGAAAGCAGTGCATCTGATGGAAGAACAGGCTGTGCGTTCCCTTTCCGAACAGGATTTTTCCTTCAAAACATGCCTTGTCATGCTGCGGTTGCTGCCGCGTGAACACCGCAACACACATCGGCAACCTGTGGAAATGGGTTCAGTTGTGGTGTTTGGCCTCTATAAGCGAGGAGCTGTTGTCGGCGTCACCGCCGCCACTGAAGAGATGGCAAATCTCTGCCGCTATCTAAATGCCTTTGCCAAACATCACCACGCAAGTGGAACCTGGACTTCTATTTCTGTCAATCGCAATGCCAAATTTAAGCCGCACTGGGATTATGGGAACCTTAGTGGTACAGCGAATCAACTAATTGGTTTGGGTTCTTACAAAAATGGTCAGTTATGGGTGCAGTTACTAGAAGGTGAAATAGAGGGTTGTAAAGAGGTTAAATGGCTGGTTTCAGATCGGGGTGAATATATGCCCGGTAAGCTTGTGTCATGCAAGCATCGAATGATACGCTTTGATCCTGAGAGGTACCATGCCTCAATGCCGTGGCAAGGAGAAAGATATACCTTGGCGATCTACGCAAATCGTG